CTGGCAATGTGAGGCTACCTTTCTCATAATCTCGGCTTTCAGTGTTTTTAAAATAAAAATGAGTTTTTGGTGCTAGTCTGTAATTGAAATGAGAAACAGGTACAAAAACTAGCATCAAAACAGTACAGAATCAGGCCCATATGAACGGGGGGAGGGGGAGAGCAGGGGGAGAGAGAGTGCATGCAAAAGCATGCTCAAGCCAGGGAAAGGCTTCCCAAGTTTCTCTTCCTCCATGCTCTGACCAACCGGAGGAAGGCTGGGGCTGATTTCCCTACTTACTTGGGTGCATTCATATCCTTGTAGTCCACCCACCCACCCACATCCTTGCATATGGACCTGCAAATCCTACTAGTGGTTCTGCAGTTTAACGCTTTCTCATGTTGAGTAACAGTGGACTTTTGCTCACAAAATATCCTTTGATGTTGGTAATTTGGATAATGATAGTTCCAGGTCTTAGTTTTCCACTTAGATAAAATGTAAACAAATTTGTGGTGAGCCAAATCTGAATACCTTGAACTTTGTTGTTCTGGGCACAGATAATAACATTAAAGATTGTGAGGCACTTATGCACACTGGTGATGTGACCCAAATAAGCATGTTAGTTGGATAGATCGGAGCATAGTCTAGAGAATCTTTTGATGTCATTCACAGATGAGCTCATCCATCCATTGGATAACTATCAAATATCCATACTGATATTCATAGAACTATTAGCTTCATGCGGTGGTACTAGTGGTATGACTCTTGGGTGACTCAGTGCTTTCCTTTGGACCATTCCTTGAGGGGAATGGCCAACAGCAACTCATCTTTTTTGCGTCCATTCATACAGCATTCCCCAAACTTCTGTCTGTTCTCCCCTACTATTCAGTGTGTATAGGTGGCCTTTGGCAGAGTTAGGTACAGAGTCTTGAGCTGCATGCCTTCATTATACTGATAGAGCCCAACTCTATATTTCTGTTTTTTCAAACTCAGTGTTGCCAAGTGCCTTACCCGGGTCTTTTTGGGACTGAGCTG